TGCCCAGCATACAGTAATCTGCAGTGCACTCAGTAACTGTCAGCAGCAATTCATGGTGCTTCCTGAAGGTACTGTAGAAATGAGTTCTGTACCTGAGTACATGAAGAGATCATAATCAAACGGTTTCACCTGAACAGTATCAAAGTGTACACCACCACAGCCCTGCCAATATTTTTAACACTATTTAATGTTTACAAAAAGACGTACCGAAAAATTCTATTCAAGACAAACACAAGAAACTCACACAGGCTCCTCAGAGTAGCTCACCAGTGACAGTGCAGAAATAAAAGATCTTGTAAGGCTGTTCACCAACTGGAGGACAGCTCTGTCCATATCCAAAGTGGCTCAATGTAACCTGCTCAGAACTCAATGCTCCATAGCACAGTGGAAGGGCTTGAACAAAGCACTAAGCTAACGTGGCTGCATTATTTCTGGGCTGGCTCTGCTCCAGACCCTGCCTGCTGAGCTGGAGGAGAGGAGCTTGTGTTTTTGTGCTTTCCTCACAAGCATATACAAAGACAGCAAGCTTTGCACAGGCATTACTTCAATGAAAGTAGCCAGAGGGCCATGCAGTAGGTCTGGAAGGGCATCTAACCAACCTGTTACTTCTTAGAATCACAGAATCATTGTAATTGGAAAAGACCGCTAAGACCGTTACGTCCAACCCACGTCCACAGTGCCCTATGGACAATGACTCCACCACCTCCCTGGGCAGCCTGTGCCACTGCATCACTGCTCTTTTGGAGAAGAAACTTCTCCTAATATCTGAGCAACCTGAAATCTTCCTGCACATTTCACCTTCCCTGAGAACAACACAGAGTCTGCCCAAGGCTGACGGTGCGTAGCTACTAATACATTGCCCTACATACAAGTCACAGGAGCTAGAAGCTCCCAGCTCCCACCTCAGTGCAAATGCCTCCTGTGGCATTAAGAACAGTAAGCTAACGTCCTTCTACCCCTGTATTCCACACGTGAAAGTCAGGGTGACATCGCTCACGCAATACATCTGAAAGGCCCATAAGTATGCTAATAGCACGGAAAGGCTTTGGAAACGACAAGGATTAGACTGAGCAAGCTGTGTAATTAATACTAGGGCCATTAATAGCTACCACACGCCTCCAGCGCAGCCATGATGAGCAGCACGGAGCAGGCAGCAGTGGGACGTGCGCCCGGCCGCCTCGTACACACGCTGCCAACGTGCTTCGCTCGTAAGATGTAATATCTCTAGCATCCTTACATAATCCCTTCAACTAAACCTCTAGTGCCAATTATCAGCTACAAAAACAAACGCTCCACAGCCCCTGCGTTCGCAGCTCAGACCGCACCGCCGCCTAGGGAGCCAATGAGGGGAAGCAGGCAGCCCGAGGACGGGCCGGGCAGCGGCCGCCCCTCACCGCCCGCCGGGGAGCGGCCGCTCAGCTCGCGGAGCCCGCAATGCTCCGTATGATGCAACGCGGCGGCACCTTGCGCGACCACAGGCACCCCGAGGGAAGGAGGAGGGCCTGCGGAAAGGAAGGGCCCGGCCCGCGCTTACCGAGCGGGGGGCTGTCCGCCTGCACCGTGAGGCTCAGCGCCGCCATCCCCGCCGCCAAGCCGGAACCAGAGGAGAGAGAGGGGAGAGGCGAGGCGGGGCGGGAGGCAGCGCCAGCGCGGCGGCAGCACCACCTCCGGCGGCCCCGGCGTGGCGGGGAGGAGCCGGTGCGTCACTTCCCGCAGCGGGGCTGGCTTGGCAGCTGCTGTCTGTCGTGACTGGGCCTTTCCACGAAGCTTCACTCGAGTTATCCGCCAGCATTCTTAGGGTTGGGCTCTGACGGGAGCATCAGGGTTGTTTTTTTATGCCGCTTTTGTGTCACGTCAGCAAATAAAAAAGAGCGCAGAATCATCAAATCGTTAAGATTGGAAAAGACTTCTAAGCTCATTGTATCAGGTCATCAACCCATCCCCACTGTGCCCTCAGTGCCACATCTCCACAGTTCTTGACACCTCCAGGGACGATGACCTGCAGGCAGCCTGTGCCTCTGTATCACTGCTCTTTTGGAGAAGAATCACATACAGTTTACCCTGTTCTCTTACAGGGGTACATTTCTCACATACAAGCCTAGCAGTGAATCAATCCAGTCTCAGAATTAATTACAAAACTAGTGCACTAGCAGTTTTCTCTAGGAGGCAGGCTCCGGCTCAGACTGCTGCAAGGACATTGCAGTGTCCCTGTGCTTTTCTGCAGTTTTACAGCACCAATCTGCTGGCAGAAGAGCTCGTGAATGCATGATTGGTGGAGCATGCCAGTGGGACAGCCAGACTAGATGATTTCCAGAAGTCCCTTCCAACCCCTACGATTCTGTGACTGTGTGTGCGACTGGACCTTCCCTGACAGCCTGTGTCTGACTCCTGCTGTTGAGTTTTGCTGCATATTTTCCATATATCTAGCTGTATCAGGAGGCATTCCAGTTTCCATAAGCATGGGAAACAGCTCCACGCATGTCTGTTTAAACACTGGATGGTGTATGCTCTACACTCAGTGAAGCAACCATAAATGAGCACAGAGATCAATATGCATACATCAGATAGATTGAGGATATAAGCACACAGGTGAGTGTTACCAGCAGTAGGTTCTGGACTTGACTTTACATTTGAATGACTATTACAAGGAAAGACTTATTAGCACAGGTTTTGTCTTTAAATCATTCTACATCTCATTTTAAATTGTTTCACAAACTCATACCAATATTGAAATGAATACGAAAGTAGCCAAGAATCCTGGAGAGATGAGAATTACAGAATCATAAAATCTTTAAGGCTGTAAAAGACATCTAAGCTCACCAACTCAGACCCACCAATCCCCACCATGCCCACTAACCATGTCCCTCAGTGTCACACCTCCATGTTTCTTGAAGACCTCCAAGGACAGTGATTCTACAAACCCCCTGGTCAGCCCGTGCCAGTGCATTATCAGTCTTTCTGAGGAGAAATTTCTCCTAATGCCCAACCTGAGCTGGATGTATAACTGAGTATGAAAATTAATCTGTACTTGCTAGGTAGTTCATTCCTCAGTCACAATCAACCTGTGGAATGACTAAAGTTATAAGGAGCCAAAATATGAGGAAGGCTGTAATTAAAACAGGCTGAATCTGTCATATGTGCTATTACTAGTCATGCACTTCAAGAAAAAGAAGACAGGTAGGCTCTAGATGAAAGGATTAGAAGCATGTGTTGTTCTTCTGTATGCAGCTTTTAGTGTAATTACAGCATCAAATACTGGCTGATGATAGGGCAAGTGAAGTGACAATCTCGCTAATTTATCTGTAAACGTTTTAAGGATAAGCTGTGCTCTCTGAAGAAAGAGCTTCCCCAGTTCCTTTCCCATGTTTGCACACGAAGAGACTGGGAATTCTTCAGCAAGAGTTGTCTCATTCACAGCATCTGGCATTAAGACGTCCCTGCTTGCTTTAAGCCATCTAGCCCTAAGAACAGAGCAAGCCTGGAGGTACTGCACTGAAGTCAGGTTGGTGCTACCAGTGCGAGGAAAGGATTGAATCCAAATTGCATGCAGTTTGAAAAGTAAATTGTAGGTGTTAAATACAAGAAATAAGCATAACTTCACCACTGTTGAAAACTGAATTTTGAAATTTTCAGCTGTATGGAAAATGTATTTTTTTGTATATTACAGATCAGAGCTAACTTAAAGACCCAGAGTCTGGTTATTAGGAAGACACTGAAGGGGTTTGGCAACTTTGCCATTCACAGTGTCAGCAGGGGTTAAAGAAAAAAAGTCATGCTGGGCATTCAGGCATTAAGTAAGCAAGGGCTGAGGTTCAGGCACCCTGCCTAATACCACAGACCTGCGAGCTTGACAGATGCCACTTTTCTATCCATACAGAGAACAGAGAAAGAAAACAGCTGTGTAGTCCATTGGAATTGGCAGCCACTCATGGCATGCCTCAGTATGAGTCACAGTCATTAATTAATGGAAGTGGCATTCTTCTTCTCTGCCTTCAGAATAACAAAGGACACTTTAAGCTGGCAGTTTGACAATTTAGGTCACCAATAGTTGTTCAGCAGAACTAAACTAAATTGTTATCTCTGAAAGAAAATCATACGTTTCCTCTGTTTAAGCTCAGTCTACCATCTTTTCCTGAGATAGCTGGATAACAGTAGCCTAATGAAGCATTGCCCTTGGATTCTTTGGGACCAGAAAGTGTTTTTTTAAGTGTTTTTGGATCTGTTTAAAACGTTAGAATTTGGTAAGCAATCTTTGTTCCTCCATTTGTGTCTAGAAGCACATTGTATTACATATCTCTTTTGGGTACAATTAGTGCAAGTAAAGATTTGAGGCATTAAGAAAATCCAATAGCCTTACAGTATGATGGCAGCAGGTCAGAAATGGGGGATGGGAAGAAATACAGCACAACACTGTTTCAATTACACTTTGAAACTGACTATTTCAACTAAGTCATTTCAGTAATTGGATGATTTCAAGCTGCTCCCTGCATGTAAGACCTCCTGTACTTAAGTTTCCTTCTGCTACACTGAAGGAAGAGCATCTCTGCTTGCATGTAACTTCATCTTGGTTGATATATAGCTTGAACTGATTGAAAGATGGTCTTTCAAAAAGTGAGAACAGGTAGAGGAGAAGTTTAAGAGACTCGCTAAGTAAAATAAAGTATATCATCCTAAAACAGTCTGATGAACAGATCATCAACTGCCTAAGTTCAATGAATCTTCTGCTGCAAAAATGGCTTTTAAAAGCTAAATCATTTTGAAACTAAGAACCCCCTAGAATTAGCTTAAAAACTACCACAGTTTTGCTAGATAGAGAGAACCACAGTGTACACTAAATGCTGCTACAGATATATGACAGAAGTCCTGCTAGAAATATATTGCCTCAGAAATTGTGTGTATTTAAAGGAGAATCTTGGCCTATAACTATAAGGGAAGCCAAACAGCAACCAAACCAACTTCACTTCATTCTCAAATACATGCATTGAAAGATCACATTTCACTTCAAAGAATCATAACCATCCACTTTTATTATAAATGTGATCATCCATCCATTTAAGTTCCTACTCCATCTGTATTTAACACAACAAAATCTTGTGGAGTACAAATGAGAAAAAACACTAAACAAAATTTGGTAGATAAGTTAAAATGAATTTGTGCCCTGAATACTAAGATGGCTTTTGAATTATATTGTTTAGCAGTACATTAACTACAGTCATGTTACATGGAATGAATACTCTATTTCCAAAGAATATGGAAAACTAAAGTTGAAGAAATGTAGTTATTATATTATTTGCTAAACATAGCAAAACAATTTGATCCAATAGTAGACAGTCTGCAGGTAATTTTGAAATTATTGAATGGCTTAATGTAAGAATTAGATTCAGATTCCATAAAACAATTTCAAACTCTGTTATCTTCTTTCTTTAATTTTTCTACAACCTCACCTTCTCGACTTCCCAGGCCAAGTGAAGACACTTTGTGCTCTAAGGCACAAGAGATTGTTTAACTGTCTTAGGAATACGACTGGCATAATAGTCATAATTTCTCAAAGTGGCAAGGACCCCAGCTGAATTCATGTGTTTCACTTCTTTGTTATATTGAAAAGAGTTTCCATGGATATCAGTTATCTTGCCTGCAAAAAAAAAAAAATATTTCAGTAAAAAGGAGTTGGAGAGAGATAATCTAATTTATTAGTACAAGTGATAAAATAAAACAAACAACAACAAAAAAACAGCCCTTGAGAATCATGTACCTGTCTTTAGGTGTGAAATTTAATCTTTTCTCCCAGTTTGTGCACAATAGCTTTTTCTCAACTGATACTAAATAACTAAGCAGTTGTGTTTCCTATCAGCAATATTTAAAATTCCTTGTTTCTGGAAAACTACAGCTATCACTTATGGATGAATTAAAACGCTTCCTGAGTAGATCATACACTGGCAGTTGATAGATAGAAAGTAAAATCCCAAGTTCAAGTAAGAGACAGGGTACATGTATACCACCAACTCTAGTATAATATAAAAATACCCCAGCTGGTCTTAAATGAGTTTTTGGAAATCACTTAGCAAGAGCAATACAGACCCTTATGCAAGCTAATTTAACCACGAGATACCTGCATAACAAGGAGGCTAAATACAGCACTGTGCTGCCCCAGATTGGTTGTTTTTTTGTGTCTGAGTTAACCTGCTTAGAGCTATCCCCGTTCTGAACATAGTAGCATAGATTACAGAGGAGATAAATAAATGATGTTATGAAGCACATCATTCTACCTACAGTGTGGGAGTTGCAACTAGATGATCTTTAAGGTGCCTTCCAATTCAAACCATTCTATCATCCTGCATAATTTGTTGCCCTTTTGAAGTTACTGCTTATTTAAAAGGGCTCAAAGCCCCCTAGTGAATCACGATCATTTAAAAATACATAGATACAGTCATTTTTCTTCCCAAATACATGTTTTAAAATTCTTTTTTTTTTTTTTTTTTTTTTTTTTTTTCTTTCCTTGTGATAAGTTTAAATAGCCTACGTTGATGCCATTTCACTTACCTTGGAAAGTATTTTGAATGCTATTAACTTACCTCCCACTGCATGTAAAATAGCTTCAGGTGCACAGGTATCCCACTTCTTGCATCCAGGACTGGCAAATACATAAGCAGATGCTTTGCCTTCTATGAGTTGAATGATCTGTCATGAGCAGACATTTAGAATCAGTGAAAAAATAACACCAGGAAACAGGGCTTTTTGTTACTGTTAGAAAATGAGATCATCTCAGGTGTAACTATACATATATATATAATTATAAGCATTGAGAAAGGCACTCTATTACCATCCTGAATTATCTATTTTTGTGATTGTTATAAATACAGTCTAAAGGATGAAAATTTGCTTTCCATTTCAGGAACAAGATTTCCTATCTTGTAGTACTTAATAAGGAAAAATGGAGATTGGCTCTGTGTTATCTTGGAGCCATTTGGGCCTGTGCACATGTTGGAGAAAAGAGACAGAACAGTCTGTTTTTGACAGCCATGACAAAAGGAAGTTTTCAAAATAACAGCAAAGGAGACATCACTTTGTGCTGTTCCTATTTTTATCCTTAGATGCTTGCTTCTAGACAGTTGGAGCAATAGCCTTATTATGATCAAACTGTATTCTCATTTAGTTATTCCAGCCTTTTTATAAATTTTACTGTATCTCTCAGAAATGGGACACAAGTGAAGATGGACCTCAGCCATGACCAGCACAGCCCTTGTTACAAATCTATCTGTACTGAATTTTGACTCCCCACCACATGGCAGACTGTGCTAGGAACAAAGGAGGAAATTCACGTAGGTAAACAAATGTTTTCATTAAAAATTCTGTTTCTTTTTCCAAAGATATAACAACCTCCCAATCAAACCAAAAGACTTAAAGTTTCCATACCTTGTTTCCTGCTCCTCCAACTCTGATAATGCTGTCTGGGTTCAAGGCACTGATGCATTCGTTTACCAGAGTACTGCCATGCGAACGGGTGGTAACAATGATGTGTTTTCCAGCTGGTACTTCTGTGAGCTGAAATCCAAAGGCACCTATGCCCAGGACTCCCCAGATTGTTCTGCCCAGTACAGCATCAGCTCCTGTCTAAGGAAAGGCCCAGATGATGGTTAACAACAGTGACCAGTGTTTAAAGCACAAATGGAAAAGAGTGGCTAGAGACATTGTTCCATCTTAGGGAGTATATTATTAACACTGAGATACATTTCCATGGGGCACTTAAAAAGAAGTACTCTACAGCTCAGACAGAGGAATCAGAATGCCTCAGCTCTCTTTCTGTCTATAGCAGTGACATGTTGTCCAGCCTTCAGGAGATTGTTTACTGTTTTCTAATCTGTGACATTATGGTGATGCATGATATTCTGTTTGCCATGACTGACAAACTAATATCTGCATATTTCTCTATTTAAGGCACAATCTGTTAGTGATATCTTCATTGTCATTTTGTCATGTTTTATCATACAGACGTAGAACACGTAGAATTAACTGATATGCATTGTATTAGCTCGAGATTTTTCTTTAAATCTACTAAGTTTAATAAATCAGACTACATCTTGAGGCTTTTCCTACTAACACATGTAATAGTGCATTCATCTCAATATATGCACATGTTGTAGGTTGGCTATCTTGGACTTAAACCTGAGATGTGGCCTGATGCACTCTAACCTATCTACTACCACTGATAGGTTTATGGCTGCAGATTTAGGGCAGTTACCACATATCACAAATTGTACAGATTTAGTAAAGCATCTGTAGCCTAGACTGTAAAAACACATATTTCTTTTTTCTAAATAGGAATTTCTTATGTACTGTATTAACGTGTACAGTACATATGTGATATATACTGTCATACTACACAAGCCTCAAGATTCACTATAACTATTACCAGGTCCTTGAGATTCAGTTCTTGGAAATAAACATTAAAAACTTTGCTTATGTGAAACAAAACAAAAAAAATCTTTTGTTATGTCATCAACTCCAATATACACTGCTTTCCAGTTGAAAGCTTGCTAACTGGAAATATCACTGAAAAGACAGTTACAAATCACCTAGCACTCTCAAACCAATGAGTGCATTTAATACCTCATAGTTGTAATATGGCTGGTTAATAACTCCTGCTATTGCTTTGCCTCCATAAGCAATTCCAATGAGAACAGTGACATGGTCAAGGAGACCTGTACAGAAATAATATGAAGGTAGTTATGCTAGAAAAAAAGAAAGCATTAAATGAATAAATGAATGAAAGTAAACCTTCAATAAAAGTCCACGAATTGATATGCAAGGTGGTGTCTTAAAGATGCAAATACTAATCAGGATTTTCTGGTGTAATGGGTTGTTTGATATAACGCAATCTTTCTAGCCTCAAGGTCTTCAAAGCATGTCCCAGAAAGAATTTCTCTAGTGTGAACTATGCTCTAATAAACACATAATGAGAAAAATTGAAAGATACATCTACATAATGACATGTGATTATATTCTTCTAAAAATGGGAGTCTAGATTCTTCAGTGGTCTTCAGAAACAGCAATTTCATGGCAGTTCTACATCTCATCCCCTGAAAACAGGGAAAAAAAAAATAACTAAAAGATTTGATGTTAATCAACTAAAAGATGCAGCAGGAAATTAGGGCAAGGTTTTGGCATACATTTTACAAGGTTTTTGTTTGCGTTTTCTTCTTTACAATAAAGTCTATTTCTATGGGCACAAATTGGGCTTTTCTGTGAACTATTTCTTTCCATAGCCTAATAATAATGATTCTGGGGAGGGTTTTATTTTATCTTGAAATGATGACGAATATGGCAAAATCATTTGAGTAATTTGAAAAGAATGGTGCACATGTAATGAAGCGTACACTTGTATAAACAGGAGATTTAGTTCTCCAGTTCAAAGTATGTATAAAAATGTAAATTTATTTGACTAAAGACCTTTTAAGACAATCTGCCAGCAATTAAAGACAGCCTTTTGCTCCATGGATTGATAAAAACTGGTAGGAACTTGATACCCCATCAGGTTTATTCTATACCTGTTAGGACTAAGAGTGACGGTTAAAAATTTCCATTGCACTCCCAAAGTACAGAAACAAAGTCAGCCTTATGAAGTAATATTGTATGTAACTCCTATCATGAACCAATATACATGTACATAATACTTTACTGCACTGCAATAATTTTTTGAATCAGCAGAACTGAGAAGCCAACCTTCAGTGTACTCTTTGGTTCCATCCAAAGGATCAACCCATATTACAAGCTGTTAAAAAAAAAAAAAAATAAATAAAGAACAGCATAAACAAATACAAATAATGTAATTAAACATGCAAAGCATATATATTTACTTTAGTATATATATTTACTTTTGTAAGGAAATAAAAATATTCCAGTTTTTCAGTCAGTGATATGATTGAAACCTACATTATTAGTATTTTACAGAAACCCTAAAAATCTCATGAGAACTTGTTAGGAAATATCTTAACAGAGGTATCAAGGCTTAAATTAAACATGGGAATGATATTCTCATGTCTAAAGTCAGTTCATTTTTAAAAATTTGAATCAGAAGCAAATTTCCATTTCTCACTATTGCACAAGGGGATACTCAGTGTTTCCAGCTCTAGAAGTGATGCTCATGACTACACAAGTATAATGTACGAGTATGAAACCAAAAAGAGAAACTGACAACACAAATTTATTTATTTATTTATTAATTCAAAGCAATATATAGAGGAGCATAAGATACAAAGTTATATATGTAAAATTACCTCTTCCTCTTTAATTCCTGTGTACTGAGCAGGACAAGTTTTCTTCAGTATTTCTTCACAATAGCCATCTTCAATTAATTCCTCATTTACTTCTTCAGGAGGTAGATCCTACGAAAAGGAGTCTCAAAATTATTGCAGAAAGGTGCTGCACTCACCTCAGAGCTGTTGATTTGCTTGCAGCTTACTTGACAAAGCTAACGTACTGAAAGATAAAATGGGACAGATTCCTGGTGGCTTTTTTTTCCCCCCTGCAAAGAGATGATTTTCTAAAACCTTGCAAAGCATATTCCACTGCAAGTTACAGCAAGCTAAATTGTTAGTATGAAACAAATGAGGTACTTACTTCTTCTCCTATGATTGTTGCTTTGGGAAACTTCCGTGTCAATGAAGCACAAATGCTCATTTGTACCAGCCGGTCAGCTTTGGTCTGCAAGTCATCGGCTCCACTCTGCCAAAAGGAGGAGAATTCATGTACATCAAAACATAACAAAAAGAGTATAATGGAATTCTAGCCTTAATCTTCATGAAACTGCTTATTTGGTGACATGAAATTTCTTTATCCAGCTACAGAAATTAACCACAGAAATGGAAGATAGTTATGGGTTACTTTTTTGCATGCTCCAAGCCTAGTCCATCCCTTATCTAATTGCCTACTCTCATAAGACTTGATATTTAAGTTTTCTCTGAAAAGCCCCGCTTATCCTCTAATAAATTTTGTTTGAATTTGATGCTGATTTCAGAACTTGATAGATCAAATTATTGCAGATCTCCTTGTTTCCATGACACGTGAATAAAACCAGTATAAAGTTGTTCTTCAAAATGGTCATCAATAATGTAAGAATAACTTGACAAAATATCTTTGTAACAAAAAAGAAAAAAAAAAAACACTGTAGAAAGGTTACAGAGAGAAGCATTATAAATGGTGATATTAGAGATGACTGGGAGGAAGGAAACTGAAAATCAGGAGTGGAAGAGCCAGCTAAAACTTCAGCTGTCCTTGCACCTCATTGTGATTAATGGATCACTGGGAGCTCACCGTTGTGAGGGAAAAGGTGGAACATTTTCTTCCAACTTTTCTGAAGCTTTCATTCAGTAAGGCCAGCCAGAATTGGTCTTCATGTTTGTTAATAGCAGAAAAATGATGAATTATGAGAACTTTGCATTCTTTTACATATCTCTTCTCTCCAGATTCCTACTGTTGCACTCTTTCTTTCCCAGCCAAGTTTGATTAAAAAGATTGCAGGAGTTCTCTGAGATTGCTAGCTCCTCAAACAAATCTTTCCTGTTGCTCACTGTTTTCAATCTGATTTTGACTGTAGTATTCATAAAAATAAGGTATTTAGAAGCTATATCACCTGCTACTTTTGATAGTTATGTTATACTGTACTTAAAAATATTTATTTGATATGAGTTCAAAATGTGCCAGTTTTCTTACATTAGAAAATGACTGAGCAATCTTTGTTGCACTGGGAAATAATGTTAAAACTTTCACTTTTTATTTCTTTAAGTGAAACTGAATTAATCAGTGAAACTGATAAAAGCAAGCATTTACGATTGTATTAAAATTACCTTAAGCTAGCTGGATCCTCAAAGAGAAAAAAGAAAGCTGCACAGGGACTCTTTATGAAGGAGTATAGCGACAGGACAAGGGGTAAAAAGTCTTTAAACTAAAAGAGGATAGAATTAGATTAGATATCAGGAAGAAATTCTTCACCACGAGGGTGGTGAGACACTGGAACAGGTTGCCCAGAGAAACTGTGGTTGTCCCATCCCCAGCAGCAGTCAAGGCTGGAATGGATGGAGCTTTGGGCAACCTGGTCTCATGGGAGGCATCCCTGCCCATGGTAGGGGGTTGGAAATAGGTGATCTTTAAGGTTTCCTCTAATCCAAACATTTCTATGATCTATGAAATAATACAGACCCTTCATGCAGCATATAATATTGCAGCATATTGATAAGGCTGGAACTAACTTCAAAGTTCATTCCAGCAATTCTAGTACTGCAGCCAAGACCCAGATCCCATTTCATCAGTGCAGCATACCAACTTAGAGCAAATTAAAAACATTGTGCAGATGACTGTCACTTCATGCTTCTTTTCAATTTAGAATAACTGCAGAATTACTTCGAAAAGTCATTTCATTTTTGTTTTAAGAAATTAAACATTGATTTGTCCTAATCCAAAATTACATGGCATAGTACTGTATCCTGTACTACAGATGTCAGGACACACATGTGGAAATTAATGGGAAAGATGCACTATTATCAATTCTGACATGCTATCTGAACATTGTGCTTTGTCAGGGGAATCGGAACAGAATTATGGTTTCTTTTCAGTGTCTGAAAAACCAGTAGAAATACAATTTAAAATGCACTTCTCCTCCAGCTCTTTTAATCCTTTAACAAGGAATAGTTCTCGATTCAAAGAGGTGAAATTTGGGTTTGACTGTATTTCCTTCCCCTGTTGTTGACCTTCAAAAATACCAGTCTGACTTGCATCTCGATAAGAGACATGAAATCGAAACAGAGTTAAAAAATACCTTCTCCACTATCCCCAGATCCCCTCCGGCCATTACTTTTCTAACAATTGTTGCAGCTTTTTCTGCAACAGAATACGCAGAGGCGACGACACGCATGAGCAGAGTTGGAGAAGCCATACTGAATGCTGAAAAGAAACAAAAAAGACAACATTCATGCTTACAGGGAAATATTTTACTTAACATTCCAAGCAGATGCAGTTTGTTTAAGCTGAATGAGAAGGGGAAAGTGAATTACTTTCTGAGAGTAGTGATGGTAAGCTGTGATTTTTAAATACAGTGAAGAAGTACACGGGGATAGAGTGTTATTTTAGGCACAAATTTCTAATATCAACATACTGACATTGGAACTACCTTTCCTCACTTAATTGGCATTAAATAAAAACTAACCAATAAAAAACCCCAACACAATTACAGCAGCAGAAATTCTTCATCATAAAAGCTATGAAAAAGCGCAATCCGTACATGTACTAAGCACTCATGTACTAAGTTCATTTTTTCCGTTCTGAACCTACAGAGTTCATTTGTGGCCAAACTCAAACACGAAATTACTGGACAGGATGCCAAGACCAACTTCACCCTTTATTTTATTGTAAAGAAATGGATTTTTGTATCTGGACTGATTGTGGACAAAGTAGGCTAATAATGCAAACACTGCACTTGTATGTGAAAATCTGTTCACCTAAATTTTACCATTCTTTCTATATTTCTAGAACTTCTCTTGATTTAAGTAAATCTCTTACATCTGCATTCCTTTTCTCAACACTGTAAGTCCTGTCATTGCATTGTCTTCTACATCTGTTCCCTAGAACATTTCAGTGCAATCCATTATGCCTTCAGTTCCCAAACTAAAGAATAACTACAGCTGTAACTAAACGCCAATAATCACCTTTTCCTCCCAGGTTTTCTCTGCGTTAGGAGTAAGAGGTACTGACAACCGTTCTGTATTCTTTAAAATACAGAGCTGATTGTTTTTTATGTTTTCCTATCCATTCTTCTACTGCATGCTTTTTGAGTTGAGCTCACATACATTACTTACTTCCAGGTAAAACACATGAGCACAGAGCTAGAGAAAAGACAGAGGAAATAATTAATCCCTGAACAGAACATGATAAGCATCTGGCTTCTTTCAGAGTCACAGACTGTTTGCAGCCATTGCAGCAAGTATTGCACAAGTCACTGTACAACAGGTCACTACACAACACACCTCCTTTCTTGCTTATCTACTCAGTATAATACAAGGTCTATAATGTGGTCTACAGCTACTGTATATGATGTGACTCTAATTTCACCTCTGCTTAGAGCAAATGAGCAATGTCAGAGGAATCAAAATCCTGCATGCAGCTGGTTTTAGAGCCTTCTCAGCATTTAGAAACATTGTATAGGTTTCTCTAAAAGTCAGAACTCTGAAGCTAAAAGAGTAGATTGATTGAGGAACTACTTTCAGAAAGCGCAGTAGCTAATGTTAATTATTATTTACTGCTCATGAATGGGAGCAAAGTGCTCCAGACTCACGTAGAATAGCCAAGGTCCAGCCCCAAAGCTGTCTGTCTTGGACAGGCAACAGCAGTCACAGGGCAGATTTTGGAAATGCTATCTGTGGCCAAAAAAAAAAAAAAAACAGCTCTGAAAGGACTGAAAAGTGATGGAGCAAATGCGTGTCACAGCAAGTTCTACGTCATAGCAAGATGTAGAACACACAGCCACATGAAATAAGTTAGCAGGAAGGAAAATTGAATGTAGCTCATTCCCGCTCTTACAGAAACAAACCTACTTCCTCTCTGTAGGGAAATCTCAGTAACCCCTACAATTCAAATATTCTTATGAAAAACAGGATTTATTAAAGAGAAACAGAAACAGCGGGTTCAACATTGCCTTCCCTAATACTGAGCAGCCAACAAAGTGCAAAAGCGCTCCTGCAGCAAGGGGTGCCTTCTATTTTCACAGAGCTGCACCTCCCGGGCGGCACCAGCCCCGGGGTGCCACACTTTTACACCCTCTTTCTGACGAGGAGAATCCCAAACGTACATTTCTACACCACGTTCAACATTATAACAGCTCGCTTTGGTCCAACAGGTTTGGGCTTTGACAGAACGTTTGCGAAGAGAAGTCACCTCCCGCTCTTAAATCTGAGCGTTCCTTTCAAAGCACGATTCGTAGGCAGTCCATCCTTTAGCCCAAGCAACCGAGTCACCGAATATAACTGAGTATCGCTGCCAAGTCAGCTCGCTTTCAGGGCTATTAAAGCAGACGTGTCCTGCAGCTCTAACTCACACTCAGACCTAACGACACTGCCGTACAACAGGAAGGGCAGCCCTCAGCCCAGCCCAGCCGTTCTGTGAAGCACCGTCCCGCAGCCCCGCTCACCTTCACCTCAAAGCGGACGCCGAGCTCCGCACGCTCCCTCAGCTTCCGGCAGCCTACAGTATTCTATCGCAGCCTGCAGCCGCCCCTCAGCCCCGCGCTCGGAGCGGCGCTTCGCCGCGAAGGGAAAACAAAACGCGTTGCGGCGCGGCGCGTCCCTTCTGGCGACCCGTCCCAGCCTCCCCGCTCGCCGTAGCACAGCCGGAAGTGCGCTCCGTACGCGGCCCTTGGAGCCGTGAAGATGCTGGGGGCATGGCGGGCCGTGCCGCGGCTATGGCTCCGCGCCCGCTGTGGACCTGCATGCGGTTGGGCGCGCCCGGCCGCCTCGGAGGCCGACAGCCGGCAGCCTGCGGAGGAGAGCCGGCAGGGCTCGCAGTACCGGGACACAGTGCTGCTGCCGCACAGCCGCTTTGCCGCCCAGCTGCCGGGCCGGCTGCAGCCCGACACCGAGCTGGAGATACAGCAGGTGCGGAACCGGAAGGGCGGGGGTCGTGCCGCAACTTGGGCTGCGACTCCGCCCGGAGCGCGCTTCGTTTTTAAAGTGCTTCGCCACCCGACTTTGGAAAGTGCGCCGAGGTGTGACGGTTTGGGTGTTTTCCTCTTGTCTCCACAGAAAAGTGGTTTCTTGGAGCTGTACTCGTGGCAAAGGCAAAGGAAAGCCAAGCAGGAGTTCTGTCTTCATGACGGACCGCCGTATGCCAATGGAGACCCTCACGTTGGCCATGCTTTAAATAAAGTAAATACCTACTTGTATACATACTGCTGGGGGAAATAAACTCAGAGGGCAGTGAGGCCATGGCACAGCTGCCCATAGAACTGTGGTGCCCCATCCCTGGAGGTACTCCAGGCCAGGTTGGATGGGGCCCTGGGCAGCTGAGCTGGGGCATGCAGCCCTGCCCACGGCTGGGGGTGGGGCTGGGTGGGCGGGCTTTGAGGTCCCTTCCAACCCAAATCAATCTATGATTCTGTGCTGCTGTTATGTTTTGAAATGATAAATGCTTCCTGTAACACACTGCATACTCTCCATTACTATTTATTATTAATAACCCTCTTAAATGTTTGGGCTAATTTTGGTATTCAGGGCTTTTAATTTTCATTTTGTGGACAAAAACAAGTGATGCAGCGACAGAGATGCTGTAAGACACCAAATCGTTATGAAGACCCTACCATGACATAAACACCATATGCAGTAGTAAATAGTACCTGTGGGCTGAGTGTTCATTTGAGGTTGTTCCTGTAAAACAACAAAGTATTTTTAGAGAAAATCCATTCCTAGATGATATTAAATGCAGCTTGTATTTGTTATCACACATTTGAGTGAATGTTTGTTTATATTCATGCACTTCTAACACATACATACACACAGTTACTGTAGTGCATGGTTGAGCTGTGCCTTGGGCTTCTTTTTCTCCTTAGGGTATTTTGCAACCTTGTTGTATTGCATTTGTTCTTTATCTTGGTACCCTCAATAGAACCACTGATGAAATGTTAGTGCCTTTTAAAATAAGCAATTCAGTTTCAAATAATGATGCTAAATATGCTTGGGTGTGTTTACATTCCAGCTTGAGAGTGATAGTCTTATAAATGCTACTGAATGGGAATAAGTAAAATGTTTTCTGCAGCTTCTTAAGGTTCTGGTATAAAAACTTACATTTATGAAAGTCTCCTGTTTCAGTAGGTGGTCATTGATATCAAGAAGCAATAGTGTGCACTAGCAGACATTGCAGATCCTGCTAAATGCTTGAGGGCAAGTAGGATTTGTTCACTTCAAGTCCTGCAGCTTTGTAACTGATCTTTCATGTTTCTAAAATGTGATTTCTTTTGATGGGAGATCTTTGAAGTTCTGCCAAAGTGCAAAAAGATGAGCAAGAAGAATAAGAAACGTGTGGTCTTTGATGTAAATTAATTATGTCCCCTTTAATATTTGTTTTTAATAGAAAGATCTTTAGTCATATCGTCTTGACTCCACGTGGGGAAGCTGCAGAGCTAACCTTCTGTCCTTTCAGATTTTGAAAGACATCACTAATCGTTTCCACATGATGAGAGGCTATAAAGTGCATTATGTGCCAGGATGGGATTGTCATGGATTGCCAATTGAATTGAAGGCATTGTCAGAAGTGAAAGGAGCTGAAAATCTGTCACCAGTGGAAATTAGACAAAAAGGTAAAGTACTGTTTGCAATATCCATATTTGAAAAGTTGGCTTAAGTATTTCTACGCATTACTCACCATATTTTGGATTTATGTTTTACATATAGTTTTTGTACTTTACTGTAAGCTGTTAATATCAGGTGTTGTTGATACTTTCTAAGGTCACTGTATCTATTTTCTAAGCAGACTGTGTACAATATAATACTAGGAGCAAAATGACTCAACACAGGCTGAATTTGTTGCTGTAATGAATGTGCGTAACATTGACCATGAATTTAAAAATAAAAACAAAAGAACAGAGGGTTTAGTTTCACAGAATCACAGAATGGCGAGGGTTGGAAGGGACCTCAAGGATCATGAATCTCCAACCCCCCTGCCGCATGCAGGGCCACCAACCTCCACATTTAATGGAGGTTTTATTAATAAATAAAATTATTAATAAATTAATGAAAAACATTAATAGACCAGGCTGCCCAGGGCCCCATCCAATCTGGCCCTGAACACCTCCAAGGACGGGGCATCCACAGCCTCTCTGGGCAGCCTGTGCCAGCACCTCACCACTCTCTCTGTAAAGAATTTCCCCCTGACATCCAACATAAATCTTCCCTCCCTCAACTTAAAACCATTTCCTCTTATCCTGCAGTTGTCTACCCTTTCTAAGAGTTGATTCCCCTCCTGTTTGTAGGCTCTCTTTAGGTACTGAAAGGCTGCAATGAGGTCACCCCACAGCCGCCTTTTCTCCAGGCTGAACAAGCCCAGCTCCCTCAGCCTGTCTTCATAGGGGAGGTGCTCCAGCTCCCTGATCATCTTCGTGCCTCTCCTCTGGACTCTCCCCAACAGCTCCCTGTCTTTCTTGTACAGTTTCCTGCTTTACTTAACTGTATCTTTCTACCTCTTGCAGTTACTTTATGTAACTACTTCTCTGAAATATATATTGTTAAGCTTGATTAATCTATATGATGCACATCAGTAGTTAATTTCAGTATGTTCAGCTCAGCCTCTTAGATACGTTAATAGTATATTTTAAATGTTTCTATGTTGGCTTTAGTGGATGAGGGAATATAATTAATTGAACAATACCTTTCAGCTAAAGAATTTGCAGAAAGAGCCATTGAGAAACAGAAAGCTGCCTTCATTCGTTGGGGCATCATGGCAGATTGGGCCAACTGCTATTGTACGTTTGATCCAAAGTATGAAGCTAACCAGCTGAGAGTCTTCCACAAAATGTATGATAAGGTACACTAACTTGATCATGGAGTATGTATGTTTTGATTTGTTTTATGACTTTTGACTCTCTTAACGTTTGTTTTCCTTTCCCTTTCATCGTTAGGGTTTCATTTATCAGGACTACAAACCTGTGTTTTGGTCTCCTTCAGCAAAGTAAGAATCAACTTACTGTTTTGCCTTCTAAATTTTAGCAAGGCTATTAGTAGCTTTTTGTGCTCAAGCATATTAACTTATGTGTGTTAACTACCCAGAACAGCGTTGGCTGAAGCAGAGCTTGAATACAACGAGCAGCATGTCAGTCGTTCTGTGTACATGAAATTTCCCCTGTTGAAATCACCACCTAAGCTGGCCTCTGTGATAGGTATGACTTCCGTGCAGATATTAAGACTGACAGTTTTTATTTTTATCATAATTGTAAGTGAAGTGCTTCCAATTTACATCTGTAGATGGATCATCCCCTACCAGTGTGCTGGTCTGGACCACGCAACCTTGGACTGTGCCTGCAAATCAAGCAGTTTGTTACATGCCAGATGCAGAGTACGTGTGTTTAACTTAATCTCATCATTCTTATCAATATTTATCAGCAAAGTTAAAACATTTTGAACTACCATCACGTTTTTAAAGGCATCGTTTTTTAAGCGATGCAATTGTAAACCCCATTCTTAGCTCAATTAATACATTAATTTCTGTTTTCATTTCTAGTTAATTCTTCTTTCTGATGCTGAGCTATCTTGAAATTCTTTGGGGATTTAAAAGTGAATTGGATATGTGCATCTTAAAAGTCTTTTGCTGTATTTTAGACATTATGTTCATGTTTGACCTTTCTGATTTTTGTAATTGTTAGTATCATAAGTCTATATTTACATTGTAGATATTCAGTTGTGAAGTGTGCAACTACTGGTGAACACTTAATTCTAGCTGCAGATAGAGTTGAATCTACAGCGGCTGTTTTGGACACACAGTTTGAGGTTATATCAACGTGTAAAGGTAGATTTTAATATTGCTTATATTAAGTAGCTTAGAAATCTTGTAATTGAAAATTGCTTCTGTTTTGACTTTTTTATATTATGTGAACATGTTTTACTTAAATAGTACAAAGAGTTGTCTGTCAGACTTGGTATTGGTGTATTGTAGCTGAAATTCTCAGTCATAGATTTCAAATTATTTTTCAAACTCTGGATTCGCACTTGAAAAATTTAAACAAAAGGATCAAAATCTTATTTATACTGACTGCACTTCGTCTGTCTTTCAACCCAAGCCGATGAGAACGAGGAAGCGGTTACAAGTATGCTTTAGTGACTGCCTGATTGCTAAATAACATGAAAACTGCTGGAAAAAAATAGCTAGTGCAGTGTAACTGCTGGTGCTATCAGCCAGTACTGTCATTTAATACACTTCAGTGCTCACTGTTGTACTTTGTTGTCTCAATGTCTTAAGCCTTTTTCATGAGGATGATTGAGGTATTTGTACCGAGAAACTAAAGCAGTTAAGTTTGCATCCTCACATACTGCACAGTAATATTTTGTAATAGGCAGACTTCTGATTCAGTA